ACCGTGGCGTCACATGAGCGAGGCGCCGGGCCGATTTGCGTCCAGAACGACAGTATCTACCTCCTTCCACCTAACTTAAAACGGCTAGCGAGGTGCCGAGGTGCCTCGGCAGGCAGGGAGGCAGGCAGGCAGGCAGGCAGGGAGACAGGCAAAAGAGTCGCTCGTAATCGACCTGCTGCACGCGGCCGCGAGCTTGCGACACAGGTAGGCAATGTCAGAGCAACACACGGCTCGGCTGCATAATTTCATCTCTCGAAATCGAAATTGCAAATCATGATTGTGGCGGGACGTCAATTCTAGCGATAACCATTTCCTGCGAGGCGAGGCGATCCCCGCTAACGTGTCGGTTAGTTGTAGAGGCTGATTCTCTCTTCTCTTTTGTTTCCTGCGGGTCGCCCCAGTGGTCGCGTGGGCGATGTCGTGGACAGAGTACCTCTCCGGCATGCCATTTGGGGCCCCGGCCGCCAGTTTGAGCGCGGAGTAGCGCCGCCATGGCCGCCGTGGTGCGTGGCGCGGGGTAGGGCCGTGCCCCCCCCCCCCTTTTTCCCCTCGACCGGTCCATGACGGCACCGTCAACATTGCGTCAGTTCAGCCTGGTCAGCTCGGCGGATGCGACGCCCAGCCCAGCGCAGCCCGAGCGAACGCCGTGCCCCTCTGCTCGACAAGACGCCAGCCTGTGGATGCTTCCCCTGTGAACTCGGTAACCGCCTCCGCAGTGTCTCGCCCTGGTTGTGTTCGGCGCTGGGCGAGCCGGCCTGTGGACGCGAGAGGAGCTGCACGAGGGCGGAGAGGTTAGGACGCCCCGCCGAGGCCTCGCCCGACCAACAAGTGAGTAAAGCTTCAGCTTCTGCCCCACAGCGCTACACTCAGTGCCCGCTACTTGGCCGGCGAGGTGAAGTGTGCAGTGTTTTATAAAGAGTTTGCTCGCAATGTTGGTCAGGAACCAAAGTGTCAGATAACGACCTTGAGAGGGAATACCGGTGGAAAGGAGGAGTCGCCGTGACGTCAGCGCCGCACAGCTGAGCTTGTCCCGCGCTACTCCGCGCTGCAGAGACACTCCCGTTCCCGCCGCGGCGCTACCCCGTCCGGCCGGCTATCTGACTTCTGCAAGGTCCGCGATCAGCAGCATGGACCTGGAGTGCGACATCTGCACCGAGCGCTTCGACGGCGCCGAGCGGCTGCCCAAGGTCCTGCCGTGCGGGCACACGGCCTGCCTGCAGTGCATGCGGCGGCTGCCCGACAGCAGCTGCCCGACGTGCCGCCAGGTGAGTGGCGTGTGGCGTGGACTAAAGTCCCGGATCACTCGTCGTTACACTCGTTCTGACCCGATCTCCCCACAGGACTTCATCGGCCCGCCGGAGGGACTGCCCGCTAACTTCCTGGCGCTGAGGATGTTGGAGGGAGTCAGGCAAGACAGGTGAGTCGCTCGCGCGCAGCCGGGCGAGGAGGGTGTTTGAGAGCCTCATGGCCTGACTTGTGCCCTACAGGACTCCCCGCTGCTGGTGCTCGGACTGCCGCACCGCCCCGTCGCCCCGCTGCTATGGTGAGGTCCACAATGTCCTCTATGTTAAGAGTGCCCTGAGGCGCCAGCTGCAGGACGCGCTGCCGCAGGCTGCCGAGCAACTCCAGGGCCTCGAAGACCAGTGTCGGGACGAGCAGGCCCTGCCCGCCCTTACCCTGCTGACCGGCGAGTCCTGGGACGTGACGCTGCGGGGCGGCGGCCGCGAGCTGACGGGGACCCTGCGGACCTCCGAGGAGCCCCTCACCAAGGCCCTGTGCCTCCTGCTGGCGGCGAGGGCCGCGCTCACCGAGGTAGGCGAGGCACTTCGCAGATTACCTCCTTGATCGCCATTTGGTTAGAATGGGTCCTGCTCGGACAACTAGGTGCGCCGTTCTAGCGAAACATTTGTTTAGGCAGACCAGTGTTTCTTCCAAGATATTAATGCTGTCGCTATATCTCAGTTAAGACAAGTTTCTGGTCCCAAGTGTGTCCAGCTACCACAGTCAATATTTTAATAGGTGTCAAATTGAAACATTCCGTTTCCCGTCAACAGAATTTTAAATTTCGGCAAAAATAGCGAGCCTCAAGCATGGTTTCGCTCGGATGAACTACTACACCGTCTGGATGCAATGCGCAGGATCTGCTGTTAGCCTAATGTACTAATCCAGTGTTGTTATTGTGCAGGACCAGGGTGCTGCACGGGAACGACCACCTGCAGCTGCGCCCACACCACCTGCAGCTGCACCCTCACCAGCTGCTGCTGTATCCACACCCGCTGCAGACCCCCTCGCCGCCCGGGACCCACCACCTGCCGAGGCGCTGCCCCCGCGGGAGATAGATGTGAGAAGTATCAGCGGCAGTGGACCAGGCGACAACCAGCAGCAGAAGGCCGCCTTGTTGCTGGACGCGCCGGGGGTGAGTGTGCGCCGGACCTCGAGCCTCCCGGCCCGCACGAGGCTGCGGGGAGCGGCCCGGCACACTGCAGACAGTGCTGCACGTTATCGGCCGCCCTGAGAGTGACTGTGTGCTGCCGCAGGTGACCCGGCTGGTCGAGGTGTACTGCTACGCGGACCCCGCCTGGAGCCTCCAGCTGCTTCAGCGCGCCGCGCCCACGCTGGAGCGGCTGAGTGTGAGCTGCCTCCGCGAGGCCCACCTGCGCGCGGTGCACGCCATGCCGCGGCTGAGGAGGCTGTTCGTGGATGGTAATGACGCTGCCCTGGACGCCCGGCCCCCCGAGCTGCCCGCGCTGCCGCCGGGACACGCCGGCCTGCAGTGGCTCAGGGTGTGTCTCCTCCCCCGCGCCACGACACAGTCCCTGCTGCGGGCGCACGGCGGCACGCTGGAGGAGCTGGAGCTGTGGGTGGGCACGGCGGGGAGTGATGGGTGGCCATACAGCTGCGGCGACCTGCACTCGCTGCTGCAGCAGAGCGGGCTGCGGGCGCTCAGGAGGCTCGTGCTGCGGAGGGGGTATGGCCACGAGGCAGCCGCCTGCAGCGAGCAGCGCGCCGAGGTGCGGCGGGTGCTGCCCGGGGCCGAGGTGCTGTGCGACACGTGTGACCGTGTGGAGGACGAAGAGGTCTAGAGAGGCCAGCAGCGGGCGGGAAGACCACCCTGCTGCTCATTCCATTACCCAGAGAAAGACTTTTAATTAAACATGTAAGGGTACGGATTAAGAATAAATCAGGATCAAACTCAGGATTACCATCATTTATACCAACACTATTAGTAAACCAGCGCAGGACGAGCGGACGAGCAGTCACCCGGCCGACTCGATCACACGGTGAACTCAATCACCCGGTCGACTTAATCGCCTGGTGAACTCAATCACCCGGCCGACTCGATCACCCGGCCGACTCGATCACCCGGCCGACTCGATCACCCGGCCGACTTAATCGCCCAGTCCAGTAGGAGTTAGTGCGCATACGCAGCGCTCCCGATCGCGGAAAGCCAAACAAACGCGTTGGTGAAGAAAGCCTTCTGTATGTTTTATTATCCAACGTAACGGAGACAGTTCAAAACAGTAAAGGACAGCTTAGAAATAACAATTAAACTTAACAAGATGACTATCAGTTATTCGTAGTGACATTTGTACAACAGTTAACCGAGTGCGGTGACTCGCACTCAACCAGGAGATTTTGTTCCCCCACAGCGGCTCAGGTCCCCGGCCGGTCCCCAGAAGCGCCGGGTGTGTTCACAGGAGCGGCTGCCCCGCGGGCCCCGCCGCCTCCGCGGCCTTGGCCAGGGCCAGCTCGGCCTCCCGCCGCAGGTACCGCTTGGGGATGCACAGCTGGGCCACGAAGCCGATCGCCATGAGCGCCACCAGGAAGCCGTGGGCGACGTGCGGGCCCCACACCGAGAACATGTGGCTGTACGTCAGCGTGGTCACGAGCGAGGTGAACTGCGGGAGGCGAGGGCGGCGTTCAGTTAGGGGTGATTTGGGGGGACGGGCGGGGTGGTGAGCGCCGGGCGGGTAGGCCGACCGGCCGACCCGCGCAGCAGCGCTGTCGAGCGGGACAGCCTACCCACCCGGCGCCCGCTGGCCCGCCCGCGCCGGGGACTCAAAAAGCTACTCCACTTTTAAAGAAAACATCTTTCCGTTGCGTTAGCGACATTCAGAATTGGAAATAGATGGGCCGTGATCATTGTATCCCCGTGAGTATCCCTACTGGGGGTAGCTCTACCACGGCGTCCACGGTCCACTTTACCTGCATGAGCCAGTTGAGCAGGGAGGTCGGGTTGCCCTCGGGCTCCGGGTAGGTGAGCTCCACCCCCCACTCGAAGGCCGGCACGAAGTAGCTGGTCATGAACACGCTAGGAACGGGAAGAAACGCACCGTCGTTATTCTGAGGGCGGGGGGCAAGCATCGAGATAAAGATACAAATCGGATTGAGTGATGCGCACCCGACGATAGCGGCAACCAGGTACACCACCTCCATGGAGCACGTTGAGATAGTGCCCGAGAACAGTGCAATGGAGGCCAGCCCGCCAAAATAACAGATGCCCGACAATTCCCTGGAAACAAAAATGGAAATAATCGAAGTGGAGCACGGTGTAGTACACCGTAGAGTAGAATCAAGGCCATTATAATTATTTTTAGAAACAGCATCAATGTAAAAAAATAAACACCACTTGCGAATGACGTACTTGAACTTTTTCGTCTTGTCCAGGGCGATGCCGAAGCCGAAGGTGGCGACGATTCCCGTGACGCACAGAAGGGTTGCAAGGTAGCCAGTCTCAGCGGCCCGGTCCTGGAGGCAGAGAGCGGGGGGGGGGGGGTTTAGACAGGCGGAACGCTTGCTGGACACGAGGGAAAGCCGGAGGGACACATGCATTCAATAAAGGAGGTTTAAAAAACTAAGTTTTCGCCTAGATAAGGCGTGGGCCTGCGATAAAGAAAAGGCTCTGCACTGTTTACTCGACTTAAGGCCTCTGGCCTTGACTGGCGGGTATGACGAGTACGCACACACACGCCGTGCAGAGTGCACCGTGCAGTCCGGGCCTCTGTCGCTCACCGGGAAGAACTGGGTGATGTCCCTGTTGAGCACCGTGGTGATGGCCACGTACACGCTGATGATGATGTTGAAGGAGAGCAGCAGCAGCAGGAAGCCGCCGTTCTTGCAGATCCTCAGCAGGGACTTGAAGTAGCTGCCCTTCTCCTCGGGCGCGTCCTTGCCGGCGGCCTGGGCGGCGGCCTGCGCGGGCGACGGGGGGTGCGCCGGGGCCTGGTCGAACACTGCCGAGGGAAGTTGTAATGGTCGTTGTTTGTTTAGACTTTTCTCGGACCTTCTCCCATCGTGACGGTCACAAAAAGGATCGGCTCATTTTGAAACGGGATCGCAATACTGACGGAAGAACACGGCCACGAGGAGGACGGTGGCGAGGATGGCGAGCGTGAGGTTGAGGACGAGGAAACCCCTGAAGTTTTCATCCGGCGTCCACGTCTGGCGGGCCGTGAGCGGCGCCAGCAGGCACCCGAGGGAGACGCCACCCTGCGGGCAGGGGAGCCTGTTAGAACGGCATCGTCGCTGTCAAGGGGTGCACCCGGGAGGGCGCAACCGACGGGCCCTTCACTCACACAAATCAGAGTACACCCACAAAAAAAATAATGGAAAAAATCAAATAACCAGAAAACTCAGAAGAAAAATCAAAACAATCAGAAAAAAATCAAGAAAGAAAAACGGAAAAATTGGTGTGCGCTTGTATTCATAGAAAAGGACCCCTCGGGCAAAACGCACCATCTGGCCGATGATGGAGGCGCCCACGGCCGAGGACACCTCGTCGGCGGGGAACCAGACGGCGGCGAGCCTCGGCGGTGCGGACACGAAGAAGTTGGTGGCCACGGACACGAGGGCGTGGCCCGCGAGCACGGCCCAGAAGCAGTCGGGCCACACCCCGACGACGCGCAGCCAGAGCCCGGCCGCGTTGAGCACCGCGCCGACGAGCATGCTGGGCCGGAGTCCCTGGGGGCAGGAGGGAGCAGGGTCGCCGACGTCGTGAGCACCCCGCCGGCGGCGCCGAGGCCACGGACGGGGGTGCCCGAAGACGTCGGCGGCGCTTCCGCAGACTCACGTATTTGTCCAGGACGAAGGCGGCCGGGATGACGAGCACCATGGCCGTGAGGTTGTACACTAGCGCCGTCCACTCCACCTCGGTGTTGCTCACGCCGTAGTACACGGTGGCCACGTCGGCGAGCACGGTGTACTGCATCCAGGGCACGGCGTTGAACAGCAGCTCCAGCAGGAACAGCGCCAGGATCACCCAGCGCTTGCGGTACACCCGGATCTCCGGCGCGCCGACTCCCCCGAGCGGCACCTTGACGGCCTCCATGGCGGGGCGGGGGCTCCGCGGGGGGTCGAACCACGAGCCGGCGGCCACGCTGCGCTCAACAGTTCACGCGCCGTCAGAAGACACGAAGGGCACGAAGGCGAAGGTGGAGCACGGGGTGGGCTTGCATTGATGCTCTCTCTGTTTCTCTCTCCCCCTCGCCCTTGCTCTCAATCTCACTCGCTCTCTCACTCTCTCTGAGGGTGCGAGAGTGTACCCTCGCCCGAGTCTGGTCACCGGATCGGACCGCTAGTACAACTACTATCAACGAACCTCGGGCGGAACTGTTTTGAGCGGCGGGAGAGACCGTGCAGCCAGATGAAGGGTTTACTCTCACCTTCCCACCTCTCCCTCCCACTTGACGGCCCCTCTCTCCCTCTCTCTCTCTCTCTCCATCGCACAATCACTCCGACCTAATCTGCCACGCGGACAAGTGGGCCGTATCTTTGCCATATGATCGGGAGATAGGCGTGGGTACCAACGGCTCGCTTTTGAAGAGGCTGGAAGTGCACGCCGCTCGTCCTTTAGGGATGCGGTAATAAATTACTGAAGTGGCTTATCGCGAGGGAGATAGCGAGCCCGCGCCCCGGGCGCCCCCAGTCACACCGGCGGTCGGCCCTTTCCGTCGTGGCGGGTGTGCCTGCAGACGCTTCGTCCCAGCGCCGATAAATACGGACCAACTGCGCCACATTGTGTAACTAAAAAAAAGTGCAGGGCTCCTCAACGCGGTTCAATAATTAATCCCAACAGTGTGCCTATCCATCTCGTTTCACTCCCTTCGTTCACTTCGTTCACCACCCCAGCCAGAATTAGATCGACGTCGAATCGATGTCGAAGATGCTCGACAAACGCAATTTTTGGCACTCAAATCGAGGTGTCGAGGTCAAATCAACATCGAATAATCGACGTCGAAGAAATGTTCATTTCTGGCTGGATGTACATTGTGCGAGCACACTGCAAATCCAAAGCGTGTGCGATAAAAATCGCACACCCGCGCAGGTGGGCGACTAAACACGAATAAAGTGACACTGTTTTTGTAGGTGTGCGACAGCCCATTCTCACTCTTGCAGTTGAGCAAAATCGCCGTCGTGCGGAAGGCTATACCCGTCCACCTGCGAATTATGTCGCCACACCAGAGCGTGGATTATTTATCCCAGCACCTGCATGGCGCGTGACACTTATTGCGCGCACTCGTCTTTCCAGTGCATCTTGATATCGCCGCGGGTTTCCGGGGAAGTGGTGCCACTCTTTTCAGATCAGCAACGATACGCAACGCCGAGTGGTCGAGTACGAGAGCTAAGTGCCCCCCCCCCCCCTCACCACTACCACCACCACCAGCGGCAACACTATCAACAACAGAAATTGTGTAGAAAATCCGACATCTATCCATCTATTGTTTGTTATTTCAGCCTATACACATATGCCATTGCAGACTTATTTTTTGTCCCTCCCATGGGCCGAAAAAAAAAAGGTGCCGACATGGTTGTTTAAAAACCAGTCATGATACATTACTCTCATTCGTACGAATTATCTTAATATTTTTTTTTTACGCGGTGTGGGCCATCACGGTTTGTTTTGTGTGATTCCAGGAATCTCCATATCGCCGCCGAAAGCCAATTCATTAGCCGTAACGTTTTCACAGGGATATAGCCGGCCCCTCCGCGCCCAATAAACACGAGTGGCTATCGTTAAACACTGTCAAATGGAGGGATTCTCCCTCTCTTTTGTTTTCCACGTCGGCGGCGTCGCACTGATATCACCTTCGGCCAATACCGATGCGCCCCCCCCCCCCGGAGATGATTCACTCCTATCGCGTGCTTCTACTTGACAAGCACGGGAAAAAAAAAGAGTTATCTTAATTAGCTAATGCATTCGCTAATGTGGCCTTAGATTAGAATATTAGCTTTCCTAGCTAATTCCCAGCTAAGAAAGCTAAAATATTTGCTTTCACAGCTTAGTTGCTTTATTTTGTAGACGCAATTGTCATGGCCTGGCTAATTTATTAGCTCTCCTCGCTAAGAATTAGCTACGAGAGCTAATATTCTAATCTAAGGCCATATTAGCGAATGCATTACCTAATTTAGCAATTTTTTTTCCGTGATTCAGATAAGACCTAAGGGGGCCACGGCGCCTTACGGGAAGGGCTAGTAGGCAAACCCGCGCGCCAGACCGCACCTGCGTCTCCTTTGTGAGTCACCCGGTACACAGCGAAGTGTCGCACCGAAATTACGACGACAGCATCAAAAGTACCGGTGTGTCACGTTCCTTTTTCTTTTTGTGTAAATTAAACTTTATACGGGACTTTCTCCCTTTGAGAGAAGTTCGGGTCACACATCCAAAAGTTTGGATAAATTTGACGGAAAAGTTTCGATCCAAACTTTTTCAGGTGTGGTCACCAAATGTTCTGGTGCGCGGAGTCTATAGGTTTCAGCCCAACACCGAAATTGATTAGATGTACTGTTAAAAAGAACAATAATCCAAACTCAGTTTTGCTGTCTGCCCTGAACTGTTCACCCCGTGTGAATCTCCCGCATAAACCAAATCAAGCCCGTCACATTCACAATCAACTATATTTCGTCTCCCCTCCTGGACGCTGCAGCCCGTCGGGCCTCGGC